GACACCCATGGTTCTCGACACAAACCTCTCCTTCCAAACACTATCCCATTCTTTCCTTTCTTTCTCAGGGCAGGAGCCTAGATCATTATTTCCTCACCTCGGTTCCTCTTCAGCCCGTAATCTGGCTTCTGCCCCCCCCCCCCCCCCCCAGTGCAAATCACCATAACTTTCTCAAAGGCCCTTAGTAACCTCCAAACAGCCAAATCCAAGGCTCCGTCCTTGGCTTCTATTTGTGCAGATGTACCAAGCTGTACCTCCCTTTTGACCTCTCTTCCAGAATCCCAAACTGGAAAACTATCTATGCAGATGACCACCAGCCTACAAGCCAGGTCTCTCCTTCTGCGTTCCCTACCTGACAGCACTGCCCCCCAACCAAGTCATCGAAGCGAGGCACCCTGCAGGACCTTCCACTCTTCCCTCTTTTGCCCTGTATCTGACCAATGGCACTTCTGTGACCTCTAGCTCCAAAACATCCCCAGGGCTCCTCTCCGGTCCATGCTCACACCACTGCCCTCATCCGGCTCTTATCAACCTTCAAACAGAGTATTACCTTCCCAACAGCGCTTCCAACCTTCCAGATCTCCACTTCCCACTGATAGCAAAGTGACCTGATCTGATAGCAAAAACACCGATGAGATCATTCATTGGTTCAATCAACAATCCCTGAGCACTTGTTATGGACTGGCACTATTCGAGGTACTGGACATATGTAAATAAGAGTGTGTCTCCTGTCAAGAAGCTCACGTTAAGGGGGGGGTGGGAGGGACGGGGTGGCTGGGTGATGGACATTGGGGAGGGTATGTGCTCTGGTGAGCGCTGTGAATTGTGTAAGACTGGTGAACCACAGACTTGTACCCCTGAAATAAATAATACCTTATGTTAATAAAAAGAAAAAAAATAATATACGCCACCCTCACAAGGCCGCTGAATAGCACAAATTAATACACATGACATTTACAACTGTGACATGCACGTGGCTACTGAATGCTTGAAATGTGGTTAATGCAGTGGGAACACGGAACTTCTCATTTTTATTTAATTTATTGGTTTAAATTTTTAAACTACACTCAGTTGATTTACTGGAAAACTTTTAAATATGTTTGGAACGGAGTTAATATGAGAATCTACTTTTCAACTGTAAATTTTATAAAATCAAAACACCAATCAAGTGTTTCTTTGACAAATTTAGCATCTGAATTGAGATACACTGTAAATGTAAAATTCATGCGTGTCAAGGACTCGTTAAAAAAAAAAAGAGTACAAAATTTTTTAAAAAGCCGCTTACGTTACAGGAGAGAGAAAAAGACTCTATGTGCGTGCACACACACAGACACATGCATGTATGTATGCGTGTATGTCACGTGCTGATACATTAAGTAAGAGGTGGGGAACACAGAGTGATGAGGGGTGCTACTTTATATAAAGTGAGGTCAGAGACATTGCTCCATATATTCAAGATTTGTGTGGAGAGAAGCAAACCACAGGTGCATTACTCACTAAATATTCTCGCTCTTCAATACAAAATGGTGTTAAAGTTTACAATTCAAGAAGACCCATTTCTTCAAAGAGCAACAGTCTGTTCTTTGGGGCTAAAGTTGCTTCATAAAGTTGACGGTTACAAGAAAAAGATTATTGCATATATTTGTATTCCAGATTTTAAAAAACATACTTTGAAACATTTTTCTCCTAATTCTAAGCATTTTGAAACTACTGCTCTTTTTCCCTTAAATGTAATAGGATATTTCTATATCTTTCAAGTTATTTTTTCATTATGCATACAGTGTAAACAAGGACAAAATAAAGTTATTCCCTACATTTAGTAAAAAAAAAAAAAAAAACACACAAAAAACATTTTTTTTTTTTTTTTTTTACCATACCTTGTCAGCCATGGTAAGAACTTTGGGATTTACCTGGACTACAGGAAATGCCACTGGAGGGCTCTGAGGAGACAAGGGAAATGCTCTCGCTTATGGTGTAAAAAGGTCCCTCTGGCTCTGTGGAGATAAGGTGGAGGGAGAAAGGACGCAGGGGAGACCAGTCGGGATGTTCTCAGTCGAGTCAATGCTAGAACTGACAGCGGCCGCAGCCAAGCACTGGCAGCACAGACCACAGACGGATTTCATCTGTAGACTTCACCCGCTTGGCTGACAGACTAAATGTGGGCTGAGATAGGAGAGGGGTCCGGGAGGATTCCAAAGTTTATGGTCTGAAGTAACGGGGAAGATAAGAGTCGCCATTTACGGAGATCTGAGGGGGACTTTGGGAGGTGCGGGTTAGAGGATGAGACGGGGGGGGGACAAGGAAGGGAACTGATTCAGATACGCTATGACTGAGCTGTGTATCCAAGTGGAAACATCAGCTGGATGAGTGGATGTTCGCGGAAAGGACTGGATGGATATATATTTTGGAGTCGTCGCTGTGAACGTGATAGTCAAACTCCCGAGACGGGGTCAAGATCCCGCAAGCGTGTGTGTTGACGCTGAAGAGAGGAGGTTCGAGAATGGGCCCTGGGTCCCCCAACATTGAGAGCGGTCAGACTAGGCCACAGACTGAGGAGCCACACAAGACAATACTTTGAAAAGTAACATACGGAACGGAAAAGCATCTTTTTCCCGGAGCAAACTGATTTGATCTGGAAAAATCTTTAACATATTCATTGATATATTCATTTAATATGTTCATTTTTGAGATTTCCTTTTGTTCTCTAAGCAGCAGATACAGGGTTTGTCTCATCTCCATCTTTCAAAATAAATTCCAGATATTACAAGCACGAAAATCCCCTAATGCCTTAGAAACACGGGGCCACTCTAGAAGACTCTCATTGATATATGAGACCTATGTTTCCAAGTTACCTTCTTGTTCTTGGTTAGCACTAAAAAGTAGTACTATATTCTATATAGGAAAGAGTGTGGTATTTGTCGGCGTATGAACAGACAAAAAACCCACTAGAACAGAATAACAATTCTAAATGTAGACTCAGGTATGTACGAAGATATAGAATTATGATACAGGTGGTTTCTAAATTTACCAGAGAAAGGTGGATTTTTAAATAAATGGTGGTGGGACCATAGTTAGTCATTTGGAAACAAAACTGATCCATACCTTATATCATACAATAGAATTAATTCCGAACAGATCAGAGATCTAAATTTTTCAAATGAAACGGTGTGGTCCTGTTCTAATAAAACATGATCTATAAAAACTGGCAGCTAGCTTGTGGGTCAAAGTTTGCTGAATCCTAATATATAGAAACAAAGAAGAGTAAACTAAAATTGTATATGTTTATGTTGAATTCTGCAAAAAAAAAAAAAAAAAAGGTATAGGTAGGGTAGACCAGAGCTAATAAAGAGATGACCCGTAAGGGATGGACGGAAATGGGAGGAGGGAGTAAGGATGGGAGTGAGACATCTCTCAGGATGTGTTTCTATACCATTTTGATATGATAAGAAGTACACAGAATCACCTGTTCTTGCCCAAAACCTACAACTGGAACCTGATCATGAGAAATCAGTCAGAGAAAACCAGAATTTAAGACACTCTACAAGACGACTGGCCTGGACGCCTCAAAAAAAGACAACGTATGGGAGAACAGGGGAGGAATTGGAATTATTTTAGATCAAGAGAGATATTTTAGATAAGATAAGTTTATCATTATCTAAATAGATTTATCTAGATAAACTTAAATAAAAATTATTTTAGATAAAGAGGCAGAACTACCCGACACAATGCGTGAACTCTAACTGGATCCTGGGCTATAAAAGACATTTTGGGACAACTGGGTAAATTTAAATATAAACTATTATTAAATATTAAATCATTATGAAATTACTTGGATGTGATAATCATACTGTGATCATCCGGAGAATGTCCTTAATCTTGAGAAATGCATGCTGAAGTATTTAGAGGTGAAATATCATGACTTCTGCAACTTGTTTTCAAATGATTCAGGGGGAATAAAGTGTACGTGTGTGAGACAGAGGGGGAAAGGAAGGGAGGAAAGAATTAGAAAAAATATATGTTTTTAAGGCAACAAGTACTGAAGGAAATTCTAGACAAGAGCAATGTCTATGTTTCAAAGAAAAAGAAATTCCCTTCCCAAGTCTACCTTAAAGAGTTAAGCTTGATAGTCAGCCATCCTCTGCTGGTGTAGTACATATTTTTTTCTGGTTTACTATTCATCTAAGACTTCGTGCGAGGGATTAAAGACCAAAGTCGTTTGTAATCCTACAATGGCTAACAGGCAATTCCATTCTGTTCAGAAAGTTACTTTAAGAACACTGAATGAGGGTCAAAATGTACAAACTTCCAGTTATCAAATGAGTAAGTCATGGAGATGTTATGCATAGCATGGTGACTACAGTTAATAATATTGTACTGCATATTTGAAAGCTGCTAAGAGAGTAGATCTTAAAGGTTCTCAGCACAAGGAAAAATTTTTTTATAACTATGTATGGTGACAAATGTTAACTGTACATTGTGGTGGTCACTGGCAATATATACAAATACTGAGTCATTATGTTGTACACCTGAAACCAATATAATGTTATATGTCATTTGTGCCTCAATCTCTTAAAAAAAGAACACAGAAGGCTACAAGATGGATGAACTTTGAAAACATCAGGCCAAGTGAAAGAAGTCAGTCACAAAGGACCACATAAAGTAGGATTCCATGTATGTGAAATGTCCAAACAGGCCAGTCATACAGACGGAAAGCAGAATGGTGACTGCCCAGTCTTAGGGAGACTGGGGGGACATGGGAAATAACTGCTAATGGGTACCAGGTTTCTTTGAGGGGAGGGTGATAAAAATGTTCTAAAACTGACTGTGCTGTTGGTAGCACAACTCTGTTAAGGCACCAAGAACGAATGAACTGTACGTTTTAATGGGTGAATTACATGGAATAAGAATTACACCTCAAGAAAGTTGTTCTAAAAAAATTAAAGAAAAACAACCCAAGAGCCAAGTGCCCACTTCCACCCTCACAAGCTGCTGGCACTTACTTTGAAGCCTTCATGGAATCATCTGCCCAGCCTCCATGCCTGCGGGGCGGTTTGGGAGGGGGAGCCTAAAAGGGGACAAGAAGCCAAAATCACAGTCACTCACCACTGGCATTCACGCATGCAGGGGATGAGGTTGAGGTCACCTCAACCAAACTCTATCAAAATCTTTCCAATAAAAATACAGTAACCTTTTAAATTTACTTTCAAAATCTGGGTGCTTTCGAGCCCTTCTGGTGGGTATATAAAAGCAAGATCTGTCGGGCAAAGTCTACTGAAAGCCTTAGAGATGCTTCATACTTTCTAAGCCAGTGATTCTAGTCCAAGGAATTTATCCCAAAGAATCAGAGAGCAACGTAAGTGCCGCTTCTGAATAGTAAAAAATTCAAAACCAAAATAGACAGCAATGAGGAATTAAGTAAATCATGGAATACACACGTGAAAATACTATGTAATAATGAAGAACTATGGTAAAAGAGAATATTTAATGAAATGAGACTGTTTGGTATATAGTAACTTTAAAAAAAAAACACGTTGTAAAACAGTAGGTCTATGCTTCCAATTTGGCGAAAAGATTTTTAATACATAATATCTCGTGTTAATTAGCTATAAGTACATGAATGAGAGGGGACTCCAGTGACAGAACTGCGGGCAATTTTTAATTCCCTTCTTTGTGTTGTTGTGCATGGTCTAATTTTTTTTTTACAATCACCTTACATCACTTTTATAAACTGAAAGATAATTAAAAAAAGATGTAAGAGAAAGGTTTGCTTAATAGACATAAACTAAATGGGTGGGTTAAAAATCTCAGATTACTTGGGGAAGAAGAATTCACCTGCCAAGGGTGCATTCAGGAGCCCAAGTGCAGGCGTTCTGGTCCAGCATATCTCAACTGGAAATACCAAGGGATTGTCAAGCAATCCACCGAGTCAGTCAAGTTGGATAAAAGAGCAAAGAACACTTCCTATTTTCCGTTCCCCAGCATTCCCCTAGGACTGTTTTTTGAAATATCAACTTCCTTTTTCTAACAATGGCATATAACTGTCATTCTCAGTCTAAGGAGATACTTTGATGAATGGACTAAAACATGGGTTGGCCAACTTTTTCTATGAAGGGTTGAGTAGTAAATATTTTTGATTCTGTGGGCCATACAGTCTTTGTTCCACATCAATTCTGATACTGTAAGGCAATAAAGAGCTATGGACCATAAGTAAACAAACAGGTGTTGCTGTGTTCCAATAAAACTTTATAAAAACAAGCAGTGGGCCAATTTAGTAGGAAGGATGTGGTTTACAGAACCTTGAACTAAAATGCTGTCATTGCAACATCCTTTAAATTTATCACTTAAAGCCTAACTTCTAACTTTTTAAAAAAACATCCTCTCAACATGCCAAAATACCTTTATACTTTTGTATTTTATTTTGCACCAAGGTACCTTTCCTTTCTGGCTTCTCTAGTAGCACTCCAGCCTGCCAAGGACGTGCTCTATCTCGATAATGGAACTTTCCTCAGGGTGAGCCAGAACCTGCTAGAAATGACTAACTGAGAAGAAACCCAGCCCCAGAATGCCTGAATCCAACTCAGCTCCCAGGAAATGGTAAGTAGCGCTTTAGAGAAAACAAACTTGAGTTTTCTTTGCTAGAGGCAGGTAATGGAGCTATCTGGAGGACTCTGTGAGAAAAGACGAAAATGCGTAAGTGGAAAACAAGCTATTGTTTGTCTCTACCAGAGGGATATCCAAAGGAGATATGCTCACCGGTGCTGCCCACTCCACACATCCTTACCTGCTGTACCTGCCACCCACACTCACCCACCCCGAGGCCAGAAGGGGAAGCCTTCTAGTCCAAGACCCCCACTGCCCTGAGACACTGACTGAACCAGGGTACACCAGTCTGGCCCAACTGGAACCAATCGACAGCTCTGTCCCAGGAATCAAGAATCGAAGTTGTTTGGACAGCATGAGCACTGGAACTATAAGGACCAGTGGGAATCAGAATAAACCCAAAGTACCAGAAACCAAAGTTGTATGTAAGCAGAAACCAACACCCTTGTCTTGTTGAGCTCCTACTGTATAAGGCAATGTGCTAGGGAGAGCTGGAAGATTAAAGAGAACTGAATGGAACCACACTGGGCCCCCTTGAGGATGTTTTAAGGCAATCTGGCCTACAGGCTATACTCCTGAGCGTCTGCAGGTAACATCCCATATTTCTTTACCCAAGGACAGGACCATCTTGTGATAATGAATATTCCTGAATTTGGCGGTCACAGACCTGTAGCCACACGTTGTGTCTGGCCAGACAGTGGCTTCTTTGTATGTTTTTATTTTTAAATTTAAGCTACCTTTGTAAAAATTGGAAGAGCTCCACTTGAAACGTCATTTCCCAGCTTCTCTTGAAAAACTCTAAAAGCCAGTAACGCTGGGGCCGAGTAGCAGCTGCCCCTATAGACAGGCCCTGTGCTTTCCCGGTGGCCCCAGTCCCCACTCTCCCTCTCTGCCTCCTTCCTGCTGAAGTCAACGTCAGCTGCCGCCCACTACTATCGCTCTCGTGCTGTCTCTCTTCCAGGGTAGAATCCTCTTGGGGTTCCTGTGTCTAGCGGAACTGGGAATAGGAAAGCTAGGTGAGGTGTTCTGAGAAAAATGGGCAAAAGCATATATCTCTTGGTTGGAAGTGTGAGCTTTCCTTACGACTTCAGTGCGCACACCGAAGGGGCGTCTGCGTCTCACCCCCGGCCCCACGTCACTCCCCGAGACTACCTGCCCAGACCCCACAGGCCCCTGGGCGTGTGACCCCTGAGCTGCCGTCTCAGAGCTGGGCTTTCTTCTCTTGGCTCTGGATGTTGGGAAGCACAGAACGAACCAAGTCAAACCCAAGGTGCCACAAGGTTGGGGTATCCGAGTCTGCCTGGCACCTTCCCAGCGCTGCGAGATGCTGAGAGTCCGCAAGAAGGCAGGGGACCTGTGTGGCCTTGGCGGGATTCCGCTTCTTGTCTCCTGATCCCGGCAGTTTGCTACCGTGGGGTGTGGGTGCCAATCGTGATGGGAGGTGCGGAGACTGAACTGGGAAGGGGCTGCGAGAGAGGACACAGCATGGAGAAGGAGCAGAGGCAAGGGCCGCTTCGGTCAGAAGGCACTCCTCTGAGTGACCGCTAAACCGTGGGGCTAAATCAGTGGCTTCACGGCTAGTGCTCAGAGCAGTCAGTACTCCCTCTTCCCTGTTACCATCACCATCATCATCCTTGTTACTAATGTCCACATAGGAAAGGTTAGACTGCGGGTCATAAAATATACTACCATTTGGAAGAAAGAAAAAGAAAAAAAGGACTCCGTTGAGCCTGGCCTGAGCTATCGCTCTGACTACTAAGGGACATTGTGTGGTTAATAAAGCTCCCTAAGATTCTGAGAACCAAAACAACCGGCTTTATCTCCTTTAACCACAAATCCCAGGAAGCCATGGCTATTGGGGGGATGCGTACAAATCCCTTCCGGCCAGAGGAAGCACAAAGACACACTTTCTCTCAGGCTCGTCCCATTACAAAATGGTACCAGCTGCTACATTAGGATGGCAGCTTCAAAGCCAAAAGATCACCACATACGAGTCACAGTTCCGCAACCAATGGGATGGAAAAACTGGTTCCAAAATCACAGGGTTTTTTCATGAGTGACTAAAGACTTTTAAGAGTTGACATGATGCTGTAAAAACCATGTAAGCTATTCTTCCGTGAGATGCCAAGAAATCCTCTGTGCAAAGTGGGGCCGAGGCTACGGCTGTTCTCCCCGCTCCCCACTGAGGGCCTCAGCCAAGCCCGGGAGAGAGCGCAGCGGCAGATGGGAGCCCAGAGGGGCAGGCAGAACATGCTCTCTGCACACTCGGGCTTGTGCATGAAGCCGGAGCCATCTCCTTCCTCGTGGTCAGTCCTTATGTTCGGTCTAGTACTCTGGGTTCCAGGGTAAAAACATTTTGTTTTTTTAATACTCCCTACTACAAGTCTTGTTATGGCTACCCACAAATACCCTATTTAGATGAAAGAGACTTAATTAACCACTATGAAGTTATAAAAGCTCTTCCCCAGAATCCACCTTCGCTCCCCATGTGGGGAGCTGGGCACTGTCCTATGTGCACTGGGTGAGAGAGGAAAAACAGATGTCACCTCTGTCCTCAAATGTTACCCCTGTCCAGTGAGGCAGGGAAAAGGCCAAATTCGGTATATATCGGATGTGTACGAACTCTATGTGATGGCACGTCAGGCTCACTGGGAAACTTAAGAGGCCACAGAGGAGGTGGGAAGCAGGCGTCAGGGACGGAGGTAAGGGGTTACGCCAGGGACAGGTTGCATCCATGGTCCAAAGGCGAAGCTGAGGAGGAATCCCTCCACCATGGGAGAGTTCCACTGAAATTTTACAGTTTTCTTGCCACCTCTGGTGGTTCTACTGGAACACTTTCTCCCGTCTCATTAAGACGGAACTCCGGACACAAACAAAAGACGAAACGGAACTGTGCCAGGCCAGGATGTGCCGAGGACAAGGAGCGGGCAAGGAAGCTTTATGGATTTAAAATATAAACAGAGAGGAGAAAGGAAAAGCATTTCTGAAGGAACCAGATGCAAGGTATAGGGATTCCAGAGCAGCACCTAACACTCAGGATGCAGCAAACGCTATTAACTGATCGTCATCTTGGTAGGAGTACCTGGGAAAACTCTTGGGGGAGGGGGGGGTCTGAGCAGCTTGGCATCTATTCCTTCATAATGCAGGCCATAACTGGAAGCTGACGCAACGTGATCATAGTGCAGTGGTTCGACCTTAGGTGCAAATGATCTGTCTGAAATATAAGGAGATGACCGGCTTTTAGCAATATAATTTAAAAGGGCTGGCAGGTCCTTTGCATGGACAGTCCAGCCTGTGAGTGCCTGGCTGCTCTTCCTAAGAGCTACAATGACATCTAAATACCCGGTAAGCCCTGTTTCAAAAAGAGTGCCACAGCTTTCTCCCAGGGTGACCTGAAACACAGGACCCACTCATAGGCCACGCTGCTCCTGTTGCCCCTTTTAGGACCAGTTGCCAAAACTCTGC